AACGGGATGAATTTGAAAGGGCTGCCCTAGGAGGAGAACTTGAGTTAAAGGTAGTGACCACTGAATCAGCAGAGGAATAGAAGCCAGTTGGAGAAAGAGGGACAATAACAGTAGCAGGGTCAAAGAAATTGATGGATTGGGGGCTTAAAAAGAGCTGAAAGATGAAGTGGTTAGTGATTTGTGGAGGAATGATTTATGTGCACACAGAGCAAGGATCACCATATTAGACTCAGTATCTAACAAACAGAATCAAAACCAGGACTTTGTAAAAACTCACTGGAGGTCTGCTAAAGCTGAGACAGTAGCTGATGCTTTGCCACAAAAGAAGTGACAAGGAACAAGGGACAGTGAGAGAGAAAACAGGCAGGAGGTTTCACCTTAAATCAGCAAAGGCTTGATGGGTTAGCTGAAGAACCACAGCAGATTTCTGTGATATGGTTAGGGTTGTAACTACATTTGCAGCCAAGATGCAAAACATTTTCCTGTATTCCTACTCTGAAATATTCCTCCTACAATCTAAGGCTGATGTCTTTTCTGAGCTCCTAAGCAGTGGGCTTGCAGTGCTTTGGCACTGGATTCTCGTAACTCACAGTAGTGCGGCAGTGAAATATCACTGAAATAAGCTGTGTTACATCCGCTTCTGTTTTACAGAAACAAGCAGAGGATCTGGCCTCATTTTAAATAAATGCAAAAGATGCATAATGCACATTCTTGTCCGTTGTAAAACTCTGACATCTACTCTTCCCCATTTCCTCATTGCCATAAGAAAATTATTGCCTAGTCCTATACAACTGTGCTGATAATGTTAAATAACAAACTCATAAGGTAAGTTTTTTCTGATAGAGCAGATATGTATTGACAAACTTCTAAGGACAGATTGGAACTCTAGTTGTAAAAACACTACTTCTGTACCAAAGACTGTGTACGAAATGCCACAGGATTTTGTAATGAGAGAAAATGTAATCCCATTTTAAAGTAAAGAGTTACAAATCTACTAGTAATTATATCACAGGATTTTAAATGACAGCTGCTGAATATATTGTTGTTGATATTTACATGCAGCAGTTGGAAGTTAGCATAAAGATGAAATTAATCTTTTTTTACTCAGTGTCAAAGGAACCCTGCACAGGTTCTGCTGTTCCTTAAAATAAGTTACTATATCCAGCAACCAACATGCACTTTTTAACCAAAGTAAAATTGAATGAACGACTGTGGTGTGAGTGGTTTGGTGGGTGAGGACATAAAGGCTTCAGTTTTAAGAATCCGGTTAACTCTAAACAGAAGTCTCAGAATGAACATTTTTTTTTGCAGAACTAAGACATATCATAAAACCTCCACACAGATTTTGGTAAGACTCATAATAATTGTCACTGTTGCTTAAAATGTATAAACTTGAGTGTTGAAGGCAAATGTTTTCTCCTTCATGAGTACACATTGACTTTCAGTTACCCATGGATGTTGTAAGTATATTTCCTGGGTAATAACTGAAACGCATTCAGCTGGTAGATAATTTTTGTGATCTAAAGAACTCAGATATACCAAATTGCATGTTAATCAATTCCATTTTGAATGAGGCAACTGGAAAAGACCATCTCAGTTATATTTATTACTTGTAAATAAAATTACTACATATGTAAAGAAAGTATAAGCTATTTGTTTAAATCATTAAACCAAAAGAGCTCAAAGAATAACAGTAACTGAACTTTACGATTCTCTTAATATTAGCCACTCCATTCCACATCATGACAGATATCATCAGATCATATAACTGTAAGCTGGGTAGGACCAAATTGCTTGATTTGCAGTAATACAAGTATTAAAATGAATGTCAAATATTTTTTCCATTGAAAAACAGTGTAATGTTTGTGTGTAATGTTTTAGATGTATGACACTTGGTGTCTTCTGATACTTCAAATAACAAATTATGGCCTGAGGACTCATTCCTTCAGAAATGCTAAATATAATGAATCCCAGTAATTAAACTGAAAACATTTGCTTAATAAAATTAACAGCTTTAGCTAGACCTACATGAAAATTCATGTAATTTTTCCATTTGAATAGCAGTGGTTTAACTTAAAAGTAATTAACTACATATTAGAGACCTACTGTTTTGATTTTCTTTGAATATACATTGTTCAAAGAAGTTATAGCACATTCCAATGACTGATAACACAGTTCTACCACTACCAAAAAGTAACTAAATAGTTAATATTATGCTGAATGTGAACAGAAATTGGATTCTAAATTAAAGACCTTTATACAGTTGACAGTTATATTTCAAATTTTCATAAGTCTACCTAAAAAAGTTTTCTTTCTCTAATGCTGTGCAGAGATCTGTGAGCACAGCTATGCCCTTTTCTTCCACTGAAATATAGTTATTGAACAGTAATTTAATTGAAAATGATCAGATTTAATAATACTGTCTGATTCTCAGCTGCTGTTGATTGCTCTGGAAGAACAAGATTAAAAACTTGTAAGTGTGAAATCTAGCTGTCTGAAAGCAAAAAAAAATGGACTCCTTACAAGGAAAATATGTGTAATGTAGTCAGTTTAACTGATCAATTTGAATATTTAAATGTGTGGCAGATTTATATCCTGTACCTAAAAATATATCCAAACTACACTAAGAGTCAAGCCATTTCTCATATTGCATACTTTCTTGGGCTCTATTCCGCTACTGTACTTGTAACTGTGATGTTAATTATCGAGTAAAGGAATGATAATATGAAACCCTTGTTCAAAACCTACACTCTGCACAAGTACTCCTTTGATCCTGAAACTGTACTGGCATTGGTGTGGCTTAAGTATTTTGCATTACAGGCAGAACATTGAAAAACGTTAACAGCAAAATGATCAAATGACTGAATTCAGAGCTGGCAGAACATATGGATAAAACTATAAACATGCACTTCATTTGGCCTTTTCTGCCTATTGTTAGATTAATCAGTTTAAATAATGTTTATTTCAATTACCTACTTTTACTTGGCTCCTTTTAGAAGAGTGAAAAGGGATGCCCACCAAATTTTGGGTATGGCCAGAAAATTACATGTCTGCATGCAAAATTGTCTAGCAGCCTGTCCAAACTGGCTCACTATTTTTGCAGGAAAGTGACTTTGCTGGTGCAGAGAGTGCTCTTTCTGAAAATCTCAAAGTTATAACAAAATAGACATTATTTTAAATTTTACATTTTCACTCACATTTCTTGAAAAACCATAGTCCTCATGATCAAAAGTATTCATTCTTTGTGAAGCAAGTAATAAATTTCTAACTACTGGCTTACTCACCTGTTCCCACAAGAAAGCCTGCAGGAAGAAGTCAAGATATCACAGGAAAGAATATTCTGGCTTTTTGCCACTAAAAGAGGACAGGGCATTATTTTGGGGACAGAATTTGAGTTCTGCTGGACAGGACATGGGCTTACCACAGCTAGGTGACTTCATGTCTCTATAGGTGATTTGAAGTTAGAGAGGAAAAGAGATGATGGAGAAGAGGAAGAAATTATGTACTTTCCTCTTAGTCTTAACTCACATAAATTTTTGTTCTGCTGTCAGAACCTCATCCTCTCCTAACAGGGGAGAAAATCTGCTGGGAGATCATGAAGGAAGCAAAACAGTATCATGCTATACGTTGACATAAGGATAGACAGAAAAGTGATATATATTCCTGGGTTGCAGTCTTTGCCAATCTATGGTGGTGTGACTGTGACATGTTGTAACAAGTGTAACGATGTCTATTATACAGTGTTTTTTCCCCATCAAAAACATTTTATATGTAATTCACACACTTACTTTCTTCCATTGCTAGTCTTAAATACATGACTAACACAGGTGAAGATTCCAAAAGCAGCAGTGTCTCATTTTAGACAACATCCAGATTATTTAAAAATCTGAAACACCTTTAAAAAGATCTGAAGTAATCTAAGTATATAGGCCAAGGTATTCAGTAGCATTTATGAATAAATTTTCACTGATCTTTAAGACAGGACCTCGTCCTTCCAGTACTTTTCTAGGTGATATGGTTAGATGCCTAATCACTTAGGTGCTTTGAAAACAGGAGTTGCATAAGTCACATAACCAATTTTTTAGATATCACTCTGAGTGTTTTGCTATTACAACAAAATCATTGGAGGTTTCATTTATTTTGCATGGTTTGAATCCTAATGTGATTATAAAGTAAACTGACTTTTCTGTAAATATTAGAAGCTTAAAATTGAAAATTTTAAGTTTTAATTAATAAATTTCAGTAATTGTAAATACAACTTGCCCTATATAAGTTTTTAAAAAATAATTACAAGGTGTCTCTAGCATTCTGACAGTATTGTTTTGATACTGTTACCATTGTATTACAGTAACAGCATTCTGTGTGAGGTAGCTGAAACATTTGCTATTGTGCAGCTTGTAAGTAAACTTTTCTTACATTTTATTAAACCTCCTTCCTCTGTAAATGATCAAAAAGATAACTAAGTCAGTCAGTTGAATGCCTTAAAGCAGTGATTCTAAATCTTTTTCTTCTGCATCTTTTACGATGTATTTTTCAGTTCCTCCTGGATGGAGGACACTGTAACTTTTGGAGTGAGGAGACAAGGCACACAATGTTTTCTGGAAAGCGTGTCACTGGGAGTGACTAGGAGACAAGGGGGAGATTCAGCTGGGAGGTAGTGGTCAAGGCGTGGAGAGGACTTAACAGGACAAAGGGACAAAGCAGCACAGAAAGCTGGACGACAGGGAGCCAGAGATCCCATCGCAGGAGTTTCTGCTGAGCATGTGAGACTCAGCAGGATAAAACTTACAGCTCACAAAAGACATGGATTCCCTCCAGTCTCTGCTGCACCATCCCCAACCCCCAAACCAATACTCTGTTGTCCCTGTTCTGCTCTGCTGCTGCTATGTCACCTCTAGGGTACATTCTACCACCCTCGAGAAAGATAATCAGGCCTCTTGCTTTGAGTACCTCTGTCTCAGAGCAAAGTAAAATAATCCTCACAGAACACAAAATCTTACCTCAACAATATCCGAATTCGTTCGACTCTCATGCGGCTCATTATACTCGGTGTATTTCAGCAACACTTTGTCCATATCGGTGCTGGCATACTGGAACAGTTTGTTGGTGCTGTTGAAGATGATCAGAGCAATCTCACAGTCACACAGAACACTCAGCTCATAAGCCTTCTTCATTAACCCAAATTTCCTCTTTGTAAATGTCACCTGGAAAAAAAGAAAAAAAGGTCCGTCAAAAATCCCCAAGCTGGTCTTCGTAGTCCTTCTTCTTCTTTTGGAAATATAATGTGTAACTGCTGTAGTCTTTGAATTGAACACTTTCAGAAGGCAAATGCATAAATATAAATATAGTTCCAAAATAGAATATAAGTAGGTGTGTGTGTTAGGTAAGAGAGGAAATATGCCTAGTTCTCATTGCACAAAACTCGAGGTACAGGTAAAGAGCATGGGACATTTTCATTAGGTAGTGCTATGAAATGTTGATACTGATTCTTTCTCTGTAACTTTTAAATTCATATACTCTTTATACTGCATACATCTTTCCTATCAATATTTTAAAACTGTACCTCAGATTTGCAGCTGTAAATAGTTTGAACACATGGAGCCAATTCTTATGTTTGATAGTGATTGACTTTGATTCCATGCCCCCCAAGTCTTGCTAGATTTTTATTGGAAGAAATTATTTCATACAGAATTTAAGTTTTGTGAAATGGATACATATTCTGTATAAACACAGTCATAATAGTTTGGAAGAAATATCTAGTGTTAAAAATTCAAACACTCATGTGAGATATGAGAAATATAACGCATGAATGAAAAACAAACAATAGTTGGCCAGCACCAAATACCACCTTTGAAACAAGGTCTTTTCTAAACACAGGTGTAGCATACTTTATTTCATTTCAAATTAGATGCTTAGAAATATGAACTGGCATTTTTTAGTACAAAGGACTTTGGGTCATATTATATAGGAAAAAATAGGGATGTGCTTATAAGCTCTCAGTAGGCCAGCTAATGCCCTGACATCGTGCCAAACCTAGGCAGTATGAAAAATATTGTTACTCTGTACCAAACCATAATTTCCACAGGGACTGTTTTGACAATGAAAGACCCACACATCAAAGAATTTTTTTTTCCTCTTCTTTTCTGCACTAGCTTACAAGTTCCAGTAAGATACGTGACTCAGAATAAGAAACTACCATGAGCTGTTTAAGCTAATTGTATGGTTGAATTTTTCTCCTTCTTCTGTTTCTTCATATATGCAATTTTCATTAAGTGTATATGACAGTGATTTTTTTTTTACATCTATTTTTTTCTCTAATAATTTTCATAGAATCATAGAATACCAGGTTGGAAGGGACCTCGAGGATCATCTGGTCCAACCTTTCTAGCACAATCTAGATGAGATGTCCCAGCACCATGTCCAGCTGAGTCTTAAACGTGTTCAGTGTAGCGGAGTCAACCACTTCTGTGGGGAGATTATTCCAATGGTTGACTGTTCTCAATGTGAAAAATTTACCTCTCGTGTCCAATTGGAATCTCCCTGGGAGTAACTTGTACCCATTTTCAGTGACAAGAATTTTTAAAATGAAAATACAGTTTTGCTAGGCCTATTATTAATCAAACTTAACATGTACTCAAGGTATTTGATATGTCAAGGACAGGCATGCAACCAAGTTTATAGGTCTGCCTAATCCTGCACTTGTTGCTACCATTCCTTAATACCCATAAGCGGTAGCACCTCTGCACTTTAATGCTGAGGCAAGAAGATTCATCTGTACATGGTTCATATGGCTGCAGTTTTATCTTGTCACACTCCTAATGCAACTTAATGCTAACTGCGACCCCAGACTACCTTAAAATCCCAGCATGTCAGGCCATGGAAAACGTGACTTTTAAGTATTGCTAATCCCTCTTTGCTAGTCCATCTCAGAAAGATGGGGCTCTGTGCCAATACTACGAACATTTATTCTCAAAAATGTATACTGAATGTTATTCCTCTTATTGCCATTTCAATCTCTTTAGCCTCTATCAACATACTGTTAAGAAAAGACGGATTGCCATTAAATACAATTATTCAAGCATTTTAAAAACACACTTTCCACAGAACTGGTCTCAAGTATGCATAATGGATAGTAAGTTCTTTCTAAATTTTTCTGTCTCAATGGCTTTTGATATTTGGAATGAATAATGAGATAGGTAACAAAACTTCGTTCAACTTCTGAAGAAACCCCTAGTCTTTCACACACTCCTTTAATGTTTTTTCTGTTTACAGGAAATTGCAATGCATTTGTTGAAACATACATATATAAAAGCATGTTTTAGAAAAAGCTAAACATACAGAAAATAAAATGTACTAACTCAACATATTTTTCTGCATCTAAAATGCCTTTCAATCAACTTTTGACCACAGTGCTGTAGGTGGAGTGTCTCTGTACAGTATGGTTTCTGTTGCACAGAAACCTCAGAATTTAGCATGTTACAGCTTCTTACCATCAAAGTACACTCCAGTACAGAAATATCTTTAAAGCCACTGTTTGTGTTTACTGTTAGGTGCTCCTGAACATTTAGAATAACCACACAGCTGTGCTGCATAGCACATACTTATTTCATAATACCTATCACCAGAATGATACTGGTTAGAGTTCCTTTTTGTGGAAAGTGAAAAGAAGAACAAATCATCTAGATATTTTTTTTCTTTCTTTAAAATATAATCTTAATTGCTCTGAATTTGATTTGTTTTTAACTCCTTGATCTTTCTAACATTTTCTAAATCTATCACATAATGCTTTCAGCCACTGTTGATAAATGAATTAAAAAAAATTGTATCTACTACTGTTTCTATGGTGATCTGGAATATTACTTTTCTTTTTAAATGTGCCATTCATTGTGACTTATCTTTACATATATATATTACATATATACACACATAAATTTATCATGCTTTTACAACAGTTTATAGTAGTGGTGAACTTGTATTTTCAAATGGATAGTGAAAGGTCAGTAACTTCAGGAAAGATTAAGAATACTCTTCAAGCCATTTAAAAACAATTATCTTTTTTCATACTTTCTTCTATGTGGCTACATAAGGAAGACGAATATACTTCTCTTCCATATGCTAAAATATTTTTGTGAGCAATATAAGTGGACAGCATCTTTATTACTTAACTTTTTTTGGGTCTCAATTTGTTAACCATTTGTTATGTTAGCCATACTCACCCAAACTAAAAGTATCTAATAAATATTGACTAAAGTAACAGATAATATTCTAATATTGCAGAAATTTTGCTGAGTGGTAAAAATTAGCATAAATTATTTAAAACATTTTGTCTCTTTTGTCTAGATGAAGGCAGTGTGCGAGGGCAGTGTGCAACCTACACTTAAGAAGCTTTGACTACACTGGAACTGACTCAGTGCTGAGAATGAACAAGACACACAATCCGCATAAACACAAGCTTTTCACCAGCTGTAGCTACAGTACCAAAAAATCCAGGTGGTCGCATAGTCTTATTGTCATATATTGCGTTCAAAGTTCTCAGTTATGATAGCATCACATAGCAATAGACAATGTCATTTTGTCATTTGACATGAAAAACACTAGCAACACCGAAAGAAAACACACGTACACTGAGACAATTCATCAACATACTTAAAAAAGGACATCCAAAGAAATGCATGCATTTCAATATCTGTTTAATATTAACTTTTTTTCAGCAGCAAGAATGAAATGACTACATTTTCTTTCCTGACAATATTAGTCAAGACATGATTCATTATCCCTGCTGTCGAAACCACTGCTAATTTGTAGGTGTTTTTCAGTTCACAGATTTTCTCCTTTTTAGGAGAATTATAGGCAATTTAGGAAGTCCTGCTCTTTTGGAGATATAATATTTTATAATGACACTGTGAGAATTGGGGAGAATGAAAGTGGAGTAAAGGGAGGAAGTGGAACAGATAAGAGGCCAGCATTCAACTGTCTTTAAAACCTTTTTAAGCATGTTTATATAAAACACAAGGTTTGAAACACTGACACAGTTTCTAAATCCTGTTATGAGGTGCTTTTATGCGTAGTTTTATATGTATTGTAAAAAGAGCAGTGTGCAGAGAGTACCACATTTACCTCTGAAACATACCAAAAAATAACCTAATTCCATCCTTTCATATTAACTGAAAACCCACTAGTCTATTACTATTTGTCTTAGCACTATGGTTATTTTACTTATTTAAAGGTTATTTTTAAAAATTTAAGAGCCAAACTGCCCTCATAACAGGAATAGCATTAGCAAGAAGGTAGGTTATAAAGCCTGCAGCATTTTTCTATATGAAGAAGCATAAATGCTGATGACTTTACAGGCTGTGAGCAAATCAGATGCTGCTTTCAAGTATTGGGAAAACAGAAAAAAAAACCCAGCACTGAAGTAGCCAGCTTCCAACTTCCTTGATATAAATCAAGGTGAGCTTTTTATGCATTTTGGATGAAATTCTGACTAAAGGTGAAACCCACTGTATGTGCTAAAGGAAAGGTATTGACAAAAGAGGATTGTTAAAAAGATGTTTTTCCACTTCAACTCTGGCTCGTCTTCAATACCATGGAAACATCTCTCAAATACCTCTTCATGCATAAAGCTGCAAGAATCTTCTGAGACATGGTTCATGGTCTAGTCATTGCAATGTCTGTAAGCAGGGCTGTAGACAGCCTGAATTCAAGTGTGCATATCACACACTGTGATATGCTCCATTTGGAAGGTAATTTGGCCCAGAGCAGACTTTCTTGTTTAATTGCTAGTAGGTAAAACTTACTTAAACTAAATAAACTAGAAGGTAATGTTGCTTCGTTGCAAGTATAAATTCTTTCATGTGCTGAAATTTAAATTTAAATGTGTGTGTGTGTAAATGATAATAGAGGCCCCTGGTTACTGATAGTCTTTATTTAGCTAAATTTCTAACAACTATTATATGCTTCTTATAGATGTTAATACATTCGTGGAGGAATAGAAGCAGCCATAAATACTCCCAGTTAATGAATACAGCCTTCAGGATAAATTATTTATCTTTGTTGCAATGTAGTCATTGTTTCTTTCTGTATTTTTTTGGTGGGAGTTGGTTTGGGATTATTTTGTTTCATTTTATCTTTATTTTTAATGCAGGTCCTTCTAGTACTTTTTCTGAAATCTCACACACTCCGAGAGGCTGAGCTGTAACAGCAC